GACTGATATTTCCTACGGTTTTCATTGTGTTTAATGTGTTTTATTGGGTTATTTATCTCCACCTCTCGAGAGAGAGAGAGATTATTATTTTTATTTAAAAAAACTTTAAATAATTTATATTTATTTTTGACATCTAGTTAATATTACATAAGTTGAAGTGATATAATCTATAATAAAAGTATTAACTATTTAAAGGCTAACTGTAGTGCTTTCGTGTCCAATGGATTTGAGGCATTTCCCAATGGATATGCAGTTGTGTCAGCTAAAAGTGGCCAGTTATGGGTACAGCACAACAGACATTGATTATCACTGGGCACAGGGTTTCGACACGTTTGGCATTAGAGAAGGACTATATTTGCCAACCTTTCAGATCCAGGGCTACCGGCGATTCAAGAAATACAAATTATTGAGCACTGGTATTGTCTATTAATCCATTCACTCTCTCTCTCTCTCTCTCTCTCGAGAATAAAATTAATTAAAATATAATGAGTTACATGTGCAGTACAGATGATACATTGTACAATAGNTCTCTCTCTCTCTCTCTCTCTCTCTCTCTCTCTCGAGAATAAAATTAATTAAAATATAATGAGTTACATGTGCAGTACAGATGATACATTGTACAATAGATATAATGTACCCGTATAGATTTATGTAAAAAATGTTAGAATATTTTTACACACTTTTATCAAACATTAAAGTTTTATATTTAAAATAAAAATAAGAAATAGGAATTAGAAAACAATGTATTATTAGACAATGTTTTGAATACACAGACAGTTAGATCATTAGATAAAACATATCCAAGAATTTACTGTTTAAATTAGTGTCTGTTATAACACGTGTGCAAAACTACAGGCAATTACACGCGCCTAATATGTGAGCTGCGTTTGGCGCGTTCAATGGGCTATTACATGAACCAGATATATATCCCGGCCTTTCTCATTGTGGTCATCTCATGGATGCCCTTCTGGCTGGACAGGGAGGACACTCACGCCCGGGTGGGTCTGGGCGTCACCACAGTGTTAACGATGACAACACTGTTCACGAGTACCAACGAGTCGTTGCCAAAGATATCCTACATTAAGGCCATTGATGTCTATTTGTTTACGTGTTTTCTAATGGTCTTCGGATCGCTTATAGAGTACGCGACTGTCGGCTACTTTGAGTCGTTTATTAAAGGTCGGGACAGATATAGTGTAAGCGCTGTCATAAACCCGTCTACTGGTGCGGAGGGAAAGGCGAGTAATATTGGGGCTAATTATGAGTTAAACGCAGCGCCGAGTGGTGTGTCTTATCAGGTGTTGTACTGGAAGAGCGCCAGCATTACAGACAAATACTCGCGACTGATATTTCCTACGGTTTTCATTGTGTTTAATGTGTTTTATTGGGTTATTTATCTCCACCTCTCGAGAGAGACAATCACTGATTTGATTACTGCCGAAGACGTGTAAAATTATGTCATTATTTATTATCAAATATTTGTGAATAAAATTTGTCTGAAATGTGTAATAATTAGTTTTAATAATTTTATATTTGCCTTGAATTGTATTTATTAGAAAATATACTGTAGTTTTCAAATTAAATATTTTATTTTTTATCAAAATTGTATATAAATTATTATTGGTTAAATTACCATAATGATCAATATCTGGTAATTTTCAATGCTATTGAGGGAAATTCCTAATCCATTAAAATATTGAGTTACTATTGAGAAGTTTGTTAAGACTGTGACATAACTTATGTTTTTCATCTGAATTTCAATGTCTGATATAAGGTCTTTAAAAATCATTTACTGATTATAAACTAAAATTAGTGTTAATTACATTTTATATATTAACTGACTTTTACTCGGAGTCTACTCTCGGTTTATTTTGTTTTATTTTTACTTTTTGTAAACTATTAATATCTATATTATGAAAACAATTATGATTCTAATTGGATTGTAATTATATATGGTACATCTTAAATAATGTTTAGTAATTTAATAGTATTAAATATAATTTATAGTTTATAACTTATAATTTAATAACCCTCTCTCTCTCTCTCTCTCTCTCTCTCTCTCTCTAAGTTTAGTAAATTAGCTATTTTTATAACGAAGGTCTCAAAAGATGTTTAAAATTCTGTGTCAATTTCAAAAGTGCCAAAGAAACGATGTCGTAAATAATATTTTATGCCCAAAATATACATGTCTGTTGACTCTTACATGTCGTAAAACTAAAAGACAATTTAGTTATTTGCAATATAAAGTAAATTTATTTGTAAAAGAGTTTGTATTAATTAAGTAAATTAATGTATTATATATAACAAATTCAACGTTTCACTATTCCGGTAAAATTAAACTGTTTTATGTTATGTAAATAACAATACATAATATTTGTGTATGAAATAGTTAAATGTATAAATAAGGTAAAAATACGCTCATTGATTTTAAATAATGATTATTATTTAATATTTAATGTTTGCTTTTTTGTGGCTAAAGACAAAACAAAATGTGTTAATATTTCATATTCTGAAAACTGCGTGAATACACATTGTTTGCAATGTTTTATGTTTATAATTTATTATAATTATATAAATAAATTATAAACATAGTGTCCGATCGATAACTAGTGTCTCGTTTTGAATTGTGTTTTGTTTTACAAATTAATTATTTAAAAATTATCAAAAAATATAAAATGACTTCAATTTATTGGGAATTAATAACTCTGTGTTTAATTTGTTATTGCATTAAATTTAATAATTCAAAGTAAGTATAAAATTAATTTTATTTATTATAAAATAAATATTTTTTAAGTTCTTCTATAAATTACTTGTTTTTATTTTTTAGCGAAACTATTGATAAAATTAATGAAATATTAAAATCATTTGAAAACAATAATTATAATAAAAATATTCGACCAAATTTTGGAGGTAATTGTTTATCAAAATAAATTCAAAATTAAATAACCATAATTTATATTATAAATATCAGGTTCACCGGTTGTAGTGAACGTTGCACTACGAATAAATGACATCAGCTCAATATCCGAGGTGCAAATGGTATGT